AAATAGATAATACTCGTAGTACAGTGAAATGAAAAGTGTGTTACAATTTTTTGATCAGAATACAGAACAGCCTTGTATTCCTTGGGATCATTTCAAACGAAAAAATATCTCCGAAATTGGTCAACGATTGGGGAAACAATCGCAGAATGTATTTAAAAAAGCCGGCCAATTTCAAGTCATACACTCGCACGAAGGGTTCCGTACAGAAACAGGCAAGAAAACCACGTTTGTTTTATGGGAGCCCCCTTAAATTTTTTTATTTTAGTATTTATTGTTATAGCGCTAACAGAATCTGTGAAAAACTCAACTGTCTAACAACTGTATCACGGTTCATGAGATACAGCCTGTTGATAGATAGACAGACAGAGAGCGAAATCATATCCCTAAAAATAAATTTTAGTCGAATGAAAAATATACTTTTTGGTGTTGTTGAAAATTGTTTGACGATAAAAAGCAGATGTAACATGTCGTCGACCTGCCGCAGTGGTGATTAATATGAAATATAATATTCATATGATGCACCGAGCATCTATTTAACGATTATCCACGGACCAGCACAAATCACTTTATAATGTGCCTCTGGCAAATCGTCGGGAGATCTCTTGATGGTGTATTGTTTGATGAAAGAATCGTATAACTGAATGGATACAATGTGTCCCTCTCTATTCTTAATATACATTATTTTCTGTGTAAATTAAATTGAACAGAACTCACGTGGGAATATAAAGAATTATGGTTTCTTATAGGAAATTTGAAGTACGTTTTACTGAAGAACATATATATCAAAGTTTTAAGTAACGTATTTTTATCAAGGTTTATTTCTTGCAAACTGTTGTACGTTTTATTTTAATTTTAACTTGTTAAGAGTGTCATGTTTTTGTCAATTTTTTACATTGCGGAATTACAATAAACAAGTAAGAAAAAAATAATTTCATTAAATTACTATTAATATTAGTATTTATTTCAGAATTGCGTACTGTTTGAATACAAACTTCAAAGATAAAAATATGTTTATCTATGTTGTTGCATTTTAATCAACATACCTTAGTTCGGAACATTTATAATCCTCTATTTGTTTTTAATACTCATGTATGTGTCCATGTCATTTTATTATATATTGTATAATAATGTGTAGGCTCATCTGAAATTGATTGGAGAGCAACGGTCGTAAAGGTAACATTATCTTATGTGTAGATTCATGCATACATTATGGTCATAATCATACGCCTTTGCCTCCTCGCGGTTGAGTAAAAAACATCTGTAAAGTTACCTTTGGTTATTTAAGATCATAATGCTACTTTTCTTACAATATTCAAATTCCAGAATCTTTATTTCAATTAAGAAAATGAAATTCTGAATGGTACTATCATTGTTATAGAAAGTTTCAAGCTACAAAATGACTCACTGACAAATATAAAACTCAGATATGTTGATTAAGTATCCGTGATTGACAACTATGGTGTTTATCTAGACGTTGTAATTATAAAAAATCATCACGTTGTTACAATTTTGGTTAATAACAAGCACAGCCATTAATCTTTCGGTCAAGTGTCGGTGCTCGGTATTTGGATAATCGTATTCCGAAGCCCTTGAGTCAGAACAAATAAACAACTCGTAAGTACTTATCCCCCGGGTCAAACGAAAATTATGAAGATATTTTATAATTTCTCTTTAGTAGTACGTGTAATGGATTTTAACTAGTTTCTATATTGATCATTACTAAGGTTTTAACTTGTAAAGTAAATTTGTCCATTAGGAACCAAAAATATTTTTGGTACACTTGTACACAAAGGCAATTAAATTATTTATGACGAACTGATAATGTGAAATTTTTTACACCACCTTTTCTAAACATCATACTTTACAGCTTTACACTAATGAAGTCTATAGTAATATTATAAAGAGATATGATTTGATTGTTTGCATATTTGAATTGAATAGACTTCAAAACTACTTGACCGATTTAAAAAAAATATTTCACACACAGGAAGCTACATCATACACGGGTGACATACTATAATCTAAGAAGGAAGTCGCGGGAAAATAGCTTATCCATCAAAAAAATAATTCCTTCCTCCTATAATATTATTAGTATTAGCATAGATATCATTTTTTTTTTTAATATAAAGATTAAAGCTTGTAATAATCTTAGTTTATTTGTTACGATCTACAGAAAGATATCAGTAAGTGGATTAATCTATCAAAATAATCGAAAAAATTGAGTTTTAATACATATTAAGGCAATTAATTTAGAAATATGCCAATAGAAAATTTAAAACTGCATTTACTATATGAATGGTGGAATATTTTTTCTGGTGGTCTCGCCTTAAAAGGCTCAAAAATTACTTTATATAAATATATATCGAAGTTGTTCTTGCCTGATCCATGGGTAAATCAGGCAAAATTAGGAAATCGAGCTATTGAAAGAGCGGCAATATCGGGGACATCAATATTTGCATATATGAGCAATAATATGTTTTTGAAAGTTTTCAAATATTATTAAGAACAGAGATTCAATCAAATAAACTTACTTCAAAAAATAATAAAAAGGTTTTGTTACATTCAAGCCCTATGAGGTGACAGAGCTGCGTTTGACAACGGATCAGAGGCTGATTTTTAACAGAACAGCATAATCTACGGTAACTTAGATGGTAATAAACCAGTTTTAATACTGTAAATGAATAAGATAGTAAAAGTAAATTTATCATTTTATAATATAGAGGAGTATGCAATAGCATAATTATATTTTTTGATAACATGTGACAGTGGATTAACGTTAAAACAAACTCAAAGTAAAATTTGTTCTTTTAGTTTAGTTTACGGACTGTATTTATACACGCTTTTATCTAATTAATTTTCTTACTTAATAATAATAACCTTATTTACAATAATATTAACAAATTATTTGCTAGTTTAAAATGTATTATGGCAGCCAGTGCCTTCCTATTTGCTGTTAAAATTCTAAATTGGAAGTGATATTCTAGAAACTAAATACAAAAAGCGATTAAGACAAATAAGTTAACAAAAATGTTTATCCAAAACCAAAATCTATTTGAAAGAGGTGTACATGTATAAATTAATAGCAAATACTTATTATTAAAAATAAATATATAAGCATATTTTATGAGAGATGAAAATCTAATTATAAAATTGAGATTTCGATATAATATTTCAATACCTGTAACTTCTACGTCCAGTAACTATATAATAATCTAGTAACTAATGTTAACCATAGTGATTATAAAACAATGACGTTCATTACATACGGGGAACGCTTACTTTTCATTAACTACTACGGGGTACATTAGGGGGGCTATTAGTATAGACCTCGAGTACAATTCCAGTAATCCTAAAATCTTTATTTGATATGTTACACAGTGCTAGGTCTGTCCTACCCCTAACTTGCGTATTATTATTGAGGCAGCACGATGAAGTTAACGATATATTGGAAATTGGATTTTCGAGTAAATGGAGTAAATGGACGAGTACATGGAGACGATGAGAATGGGTCTGTAAGGGATAAGCTTATCTCTTTCTCATTTTTCTCCACTCCATAATAAACTCTATATTAATTAAGCTCTATATTTTATAATGGATGTTCCATTAGCAAATTTGTATAAAAATATAAATAGAGGAAAGTAACTGAATAATTACACTTATAGTTCACTTGACTCATTAAGAGCTATTAAAAGTTATATAAAGAATAATTTAGACCAGTAATTTCAGTGTACACTATTTCATATTTGGTCGCTTTCCTCTATTTTAAAACAATAGTAATATCACATTCTACTTTTAAAAGTTTATGTTTAGCTCATTATAGAAAAAAAAACAAGTTTTCTGTTATAAAACCTATAATGAAAGTTTTAGTGTAAATTTCAATAATATTGTATTATTAATATTGTTAATGTTTTACATATTTGCAAAAGCTACATTTATTTATTGCCCAGCGAAATATTTTGAAGATGCTTGCGATCCTTTATGTTTCTATTTATCAGCATGAAAATCTTTAATCCCTTGCTGTAAATTATAGCAGTATATTAAAATAATAAATATAGTATATATCAACGTTCTTCATTATTTTCATTAATGTTATAAAGAGCAGATTATGGTTCCGTAGGATTATAATAAATATATAGGATAAAAATATAGGATATAAATATATATAATTTAGACCGTTTGAAAGATAAATGTTGAAGAACGAGTAATATTTAAAAACGTTAGTTTTTACTTTGTATTCGGGAGACAAATGACGAAGTCAACATGTTTCAGAAACAAGTAAATTTCCACTATATGAGAGAAATTTATAGGCGTTAGATCAGTAGAATTCTTTTTCTCTCTACAAATATAATAAAAAATGAAGTACGCAATTATCAACCAAACACTAATCAATCATAATAACACACATTATTTTAGACTCGCCGTTCAGTGACTTTGCTCAAGTATATTGTAGCCGCTTACTAGCGTATGGTGTAGTTTGCATGTCCAGTAGTTCCGGAGATTATTTAAATTTGTAGTAAGAAAACAGAGGACATGATCAGAAATCACGGAATTTTTTTGTATCATTTTGTGATAAAAAATCGTTCAAAGAAATTGTAACCACAACATTCTAGTTGTATCTAAGACATTAGATGAAAAAAAAAACAAAGCAACAATGAAACTTCGAAGTGTTACACAGATGACGTAATATCTGCCTTAAAGATAACACAACTAGGTAGGCCGTCTCCGGAACCGCAGTATACTTTGTGTAAATAAGATACTTAGATACTTCTTTTATTTATTGTAATATCTACAATCTAGCGCATATTACGCCACTTACTTCCTCCTGACACAAACTTTTATTTTATTTTATTTACCACTCTACTGTCCGAGTCGTTACTTAGATACTTTTATTTTTGTTTCTATCTCTCTACAGTCTCTGCCTGGTTTTTGTACGAGACCCCGATGACGTAACGTAATTTGATTTAAATACGGCAATGTGTACCTAATTTGACTGTTACAATATGTTGTTCGGTGAATGGTGGTTTTAAATAAAATGTATTATAACAATAAGAATTGTGCAATTGAAATGTGTTAAGAAACAATTGAGCGTGCTTTCTTTAATGTTTAAAAAAATTATATTTTGAATGTTAATACTATGTCTGTATCTATGATGGTGACATTAGTATTTTTATTTTACAGATGTGTTTCCTCATGAGTTTGGCATTGGTTGCGTCGAGCCAAGCTTTCTTCCTTAAATGGGGCTCTGATACATCGTAAGTATTTTTGCGTAGAGTGCGCAATTTTCATCTTTAACTGTATTAATAGAAAACAAAAGTAAAAGATATGTGAGTTGCGTCGGTAAATTTCGGCCGCTATGACATAGAGTCCTGTGTACACTATCTACATGAATTTTATTATTAATTATAATCCAATGTGCAGAGTTCTCAATAATTGTATATTTAAAGTTAACAATTAATTTAACGCTTGGCGAACTAACAGCTGTGCGTAAATCATAAGTAATAGTCTAGAACGATCGTGTCTTATAAAATGTTTGTTATGTATTATTGAGCAATATTTGCTATTATATTACCGTGCAAAGCGAACCAATTACTTACTGCCGTATATTTTACGGAACAGTGAATATTCATGTACCATTTACGCTAACACGATCACTAAAGTTTCATATCAGAACGTAGGTTGAGAATTATTATCAGTTAAATAATTGTAGTTAATTTAAAAAACAAAACGTTGTAAACTGCATTATTTAAGCGCGAAGAAGAAACACAAGATATTATATATGTAATTTTATAGGTTTAAACGTTTAATTGTATTAATAACAGAAAAATTAATACTCATAGAATTCTAAGTATACATTTACAAGATCACAAAAAAATATTATTAATATTTGATATACGAATATTTGAATGTTCCACTTCAAATGTAATGTATACAGTGAATTAAATGTTGTTTTATTTGAATATATATATATTCAGATTGCGTTTCTATTGTTTCAGCAGACAGCCTGTGTCACAGAAAACATGGATGCAGCAGCCGATGTCGGCATCGTCGTATCGTTACCAATACATTTACCCACCGTACGAATCACGAAAAGTTTATCAGTTACAACCACCACAGTACGCCCAACCAGATATCCCGATGCCGCAGAGCATGGCACCCATTCCCATCAGCGTGCCAGCCGGGGCAAGTCTTACTCCAGTCTCACTTCAGCACGTACAGTTAGTACCGTGCATGTGTCCAGTCGCACCGGAAGAAGCAGAGAAGCTACAGGAGCAGGTCGGCCCGGGCCCATATCTTGCACAAAGCTACGCCCAGCCTTCCTATTCTGTACCACAGCAAATGCCGCCCCCATCTGACAATAAAACTCCGAACAAACAATAATTTTTACAAATGTGACATCCACCAAATGAGTTCATTGTAACTTTATTTATTTCATTTATTTATATATACACTTAAATATAAGTAAAGACTGATAGATTAAGATGGTGTCGTGTACGTATTAACAATTTAATAAACTAAAGTGGAATTTTGTTATCGGTTTTTATTCGATCATGTCTAATATCCTCATATCCTATCACCCAGAAATGGCGTCAATTATACGTGTCATTAATAAAATACGCCATTTGTAATAGCATAAAAAGTGTAGTAAATCGTAATAGGAATGTTCGAGTGTTTTAATTTAAAATTGATTACCAATAATTTACGCACAATAATGAGCTTAGGCGGTACCAACTCGATGAGCGATTACGACAACCGGTAGAACAAAAGAAATGGTTTATGCTAAATTTTTGAATTTTCATTGAATCTTATTTTAGAAAGCCGAAACCAAATAATTTTATTTTTGTAAATGAGTATGCCTTCGAAGACCATACATAATATTCCTTACGTAATTTCGAATAACCTACTTTTGTTGTTATTGAATTAGATATATTGCGACACCGTTTCAAACACTATATTTAGTATTCAACACGCAGTGTGATTATTTTTTCTGATTTGTGATTCTTGTCTCCATGGAACGCAAGTGCGTTCGAAATGTGTCCTGCAATTTACACTATGATGCGTAGTTCTGCGTTCGTCATTTATTTCCACATGTAAAGTGAAAATGTAATGAATGAAAGATGGCGTGATCTTGCACATTCATAGTAGGTATTTCACCTGAGATGACATTGACATCAACTCTATCACTCGCTTCGTCACTGTTCTTGTTGTCTACGGCGAGTGATTGATGTCTGTCGTTGCAGTCAGAGGGAAATAAAAATATGGATTTTTTTTAGTCGAAAGTTAATTAGTAGTAAACAAGCGTTGTATGCGAGGCGAATGGATAAAAAAAAATAGAACTGCAGCTTTATTAATAACAGCATTAAACTCGACGTCGAAAGCTGCGACAGTATAGAGCTTCAACAAAAAACCTTTAAATTAGGTTTATATTATTCAGTTTTCTCAAGAACGCTTTGTCTACATCCAAGTGTCACTTTTCTTGGATCGACAATTAGATATCGTATCAGCACCTGAGTTTATCATGCTACGCGTGTTTTTGCACGAGCGATCGTTCGTCTGCTGCGGGCGCGGGTGCCACTCGGAAATGTTAGGAAGTTGCGTTACGCAAACACTTTCATTGTGTTTTCGATATCACTCGAACGTTAACTTCGAATCATAGTAAATAACGACTATATTTTTTCACGCTCTGATAGCATATTGGTAACGACCTGCGTATTATGCACTCGTTATTTCGTGTCTTTTCGGTTTGGTTCGATTGGCAGGCGACATTTGATAATGAAATATTTTAGATTATCGTGTAAAATAACGCATAAATTTAAATTAACCGGAAAGTTTTATACTTCATATGTTTGAATTAAACGATTTTTATAAAATTATTTTTTATGATATTTTTGATAATATATAATGTAGTCTAGTAATATTTGCCATTGGACATTTTACCAACTTAAATAAAAAGCATTCATTTTGACTTAATGGGAACAACTCCGCCATCTATTTTATATACTTTATACTGAAGTTACGAGATTAGGGTAAACTTTTTATAAATAAACAATAGGTGAATCCGAAAAATAAACTTCTTTTATTTATTTTCTAACATAGGTAATATGACACCGGCGAATTACAACAACTCGTAACTTCGATGAGAGAATGTCTCGACTGTCATATTATATGGTACTATAGTTTTAAAGCGCTGAAATATTATAAAAAGTTGCTTTTACATACAACTTCAGATAGAGTTTAGATTCTCTATTCCTATAAATACTCTTAAGTCTTACTCCCACATTTTCTTTTATTAATATTGTATTTTACACTGGCAAAAATATTCCGAAAATTAAGTCAATTTTCTCTGTCACTACTCCACCATACAAATTAAACAGAAATATCAAATTACAAAGAATTTTTTTTTAACATTCCATAGACAACATTTTATATAGTTTTATCTGACAGCTTTGAAATAGAATTCTAGATCTTTCTGGATTATTTTTAACATAGAAGTTTTTGAATTAGAATTGTGCGAAATGCCATTAATAACAGACGAAGAATATATGTAGTTATCGTCAAGAAATAAGAACAAAAGGATAAAATTAAACATGTTTAACAACAGACAAGATCCACGCCTCGAGGGATTGGAACTTCAACAAAAAATAAACGATCTTATTAATTATTACATGCCAATGGATCTCGATGCAACTTACGAGCCGAATAAAGTTACAGCCATCAAAAAGTTGAACTTCATTATAAACAATTCCAACCGACAAAGTTTGCAAGAATCCGAATTCGATGATATCCTGAAGTGTTCTCTAACATTGGTTTATTATTTTGGCATGAAACTAAAACTGAGTATGTTGACAACGAAATATTGGCACTGGTGCAAGAAAAGATTGTTTCACAAAGCAGAATCAGCATTCCAAAAGACCATGGATTGCTTTCAGCCGGAACGCACCGTGCCTACGATCAAGATCACCCTAACATTCTTTTCCAGTGTAGACTTGTGGCCTTTTGAGAACTTTGTAGGTCAGATATTGGAAGTGGCCTTTTATTTTAGTCAAGGAAATACAATACTGTTTCACTTAATGCTTACCGACATTCACTGTGTTTTGTTTAGCGATATAAAGTCGGCCAGACACCGTATGAGAGTACTTTATGAGTTGCTCAAAAGTGATAATTGGATTATAGACAAACATAAGTTATTACCATTCGTAACGAGGCTTTTAGATTTCTTCGCCCAGAGTAATACCAAAGATGACAAAGTTACTCCATACGGTTATTTGAGAAAAGGATTCGAGGTTTGCCTGCGTCGAATATTTCAAAGAGTTCAGAATAATCAACGCATGATGATAGTAACGACTATGTTGAACTGGTTATCTTTAGCCAACATGAGTGATGATGATATATTGGAATTCTCCACATTAGTCGATCATGTTGCAGCTCTGTATGAAGTGCATAACTACAGTGAGAGTTTCCAAGCTGATTTGATTGAACATATACTTTGTAACTTGGTTGGATCTTGGAGGTATTCTTATAGTCTCATGGGATCGCGATTGCTTCAAAGATTATTTGACAGACAACAAAATGCCATATACCTTGTTGTACCTACAATATACTATGATTTTCTACAGGTTTGATTAATCTTTAAACTTACTCGTAGTTATCAATTTTAACAATGTACTCTTACATTTTTTTATATTAGGCAAGGCACAATCATAATAGATAACGTTACTTATCATAAATTATACATCTTAAATGATAATCATTAAATTATATTTCAGACAAAAATAATTATGGAGAAAATGGAGTACTGCAATTACTTTTGAATTTATTTTTTAAAGAAATTGTAATACACTTTGAAATAAGTCAAAAAACGAATTTCCTGGCGTTATTAATAAATTTAGAAATATTCATTTAATATAAATAATTTGATTATCGATTATTAGGGATCATATTCCATATTCGGTTACTTTTCTTGTATACAAAAATAATTTCACTTATATTTTTTCAGCTTCATTTAAAGGTTGGATTTTATGACTCCGTTGATAAGCAATTTCTGTTAAACCACAGAGAGCAACTTCACGAGAATATACTTATTGCGATCAAGCATCATTGCAGGAATTCTATTAATTTGAAGTCTATTTTTTCTTTGATATGTTGCATCGCACTAGAAGTGCCATGTAATTTGTCAGCGGCTATGGTCGCCTGTATAGCGATGTCGATACAAGATTTCGCTTTAAACGGAGAGAATTTAACAGTAAATTCTCGATATTGGATGCATGCGATAGTTATATCAGTGATGTCGCTAATTTGCTGGGTCCACAAAGCGCCAGTTTTATATCGTTATGTGAATGAAATAATCGCTCGACGTGCGAAAGAGGCTCCACAGCTGAATCCACCTCTTCTGCAAACATATAATGTCGGAAATCATCACGTCACGTGGAACAAACCAAACCTTTTCTTCGAGGACTGGGAGTTGAGATATGCTCTGTGGAAACATTTTCAGAATGTTCGAGTGCGTAATTATTTTTAATATTTCAACTTTATGCAACTTTTTTTTTTATTGTCTGATCATCATTCTATTTTTATTTTCAGCCGTCATTATCGAAGCGAAACAAAGACAAGAACATCAAAAAAGTACCTACAATGGATTTAATGAATTAAAATGCAATTGAATGTAAGTAAGTAAGACTAACACTCGGTTTCCGAATTGAGAATCTGTAGTTGAGCACGTCGCAAACCGTGTTTAAGACATTTTTGACGTCATTTAAACAAGTTTTTATTACTGATTTATAATTTTTTAATGATTAGCTGATAGCGATTTGATAAAAAACTTAAGTTATTGAGAATAATCAGTTGAGATTTTGTGCTTTTCTCAATTCAGAAACTGGCCGTATGATTGTATCATTAATCTATATTATGATATTATAAAAAGAATAAAATTGATTCTTTGTTTACATCGAATAAGCATACGGGAAACTGCATCATCCGCGACAACGTAGGCTTATAATTAACTCGGGCGAAATCACGTAACAGCAAGTTATATTATATTTTGAGCCAGCGGTTTCGCCCGCGTGGTGTTGTATTCTGAATAAAAACCTTACTTTTGAATCACCCTATCTATGAAAAAGAAATCGCACCAAAATCCGTTGCGTAGTTTTAAAGATTTAAGCATACATTAGGATATAGGGACAGAGAAAGCGGCTTTGTTTTATACTATGTAGTGATAGGTATTTCTTTAAGATTGCTTTTTGTTAAATTTGTAAATCTCAAAAGTAATAGTCCAAGATCCCAGAGCGATCTGACATAACTTATTTTTAAAAGCATAGAACTTTCGATTCTAAGTAGTCTCTACATTTACTTATAATACCTGCGTACTTGTAGAGTTCGCTCGGTGACACCTGGGCAGGTACCAGGTGAGAAAGGTAACTAAAAATTAGCGTTACTTTATTTATTTTTAAATGTCTGATTTTTAAATATATTATGTAGAATGTTATTCGAAAGTAAAATTAAAAGTATCAGACGCTTTCCATGGGCCAGAACTTTTGTCAGACGCTTTAAAGCTCCGTAAAAAATAAATTGACTTTACTTATTTTTAAATGTCTGATTTTAAATATGTTATTAAGATAACTATTACAAAGCTATATTTAATCAGTCAGACAAATTGTAATGGCCAAACATTCCCTAGACAATAAAATTATGCAATCATTAATATGAACGCGAGAGCACTATTGCATGAGCATCAAAGACAACCATGGTGACTCGGTGTTGCTGGCAGGCGAACTCTACAAGTATGCAGGTATTAAAAATACATGTAGAGACTACTTAGAATCGAAAGTTCTATGCTTTTTAAAATAAGTTATGTCAGATCGCTCTGGGATCTTACTCTATAATATTTGTAGATAATATTTTAACCATTCAAATTTATATTTTCACGTGAACAGACTAACAGTACCAGGGTAAGTGATTAAAGAAAATAAGATAAAAAATCTTTCGTCGCAAAAGTTAATCAATAAAAGAATAGATATTAAATAATTGTTACAAAGTAAGAATTCTAATACGAGGGAGAACTAATGTTGTACACATTGTAGCAAAAAAACTGCATATCGTGTGAAATAATAAAAACAAAGAAAACAGATGTTAACTTTCCAGTTATCTACCATCAGACAATCAGTTCTTAGGTAACGGTTAGACTATTATTTATGGTACTATATATATTATTATTTATTTGTATTATGATACTATTCATTTAGACAACGAAATATTTAAAAAAATCTTCGTAAATACATTCTTAAAACGAAAGAAATTTAGAAAGGTTAATAAATTCAAGAAACTTCTATCAATTAAGACGAAGCTTTACTGGCCATGTTCTTAGTCCCTTAACTTGAAATTTACTTTTTTCAGTAAACTTAGAACTGGCGTGTGATCATATTTCCTTCTCATTCTAATATTTAACATATCCAATAAGACAGATAGTGATTGATAATGGCTTTTAAGTTGAATGAGAAGCGCAAAAATTACACGCAAATTGTTATGATCACTTGAAAATTGCTAGTGTCAGCTGAACTACTCACTATAAGGATAAGATTATTACTTGTGGGTTAAACTGAATATCGCTGAGATTGTAATTTTTTTTCTAAGGAAAATTTTAAGATCATTTTTACTTCCAAAAGTTTAGCGCTGCCTTACTCAAAGAATCACCATAAAAAATGTGTGTTTAGAAATATGGAATAATCAAAGTAAAAGTTGCTGGTTCCATGGAGAATCGGTATATATTTAAATAGACATACAAAAATCAATAACTTCTATGAAAAAATAAAACAACACCTAAACAAAATCAAAAAGTTTGTGATTCAGCACAATATAAATGAACATTATGTTCAATTCTCGTTCAATTGACTTATGTAGTCACAGCTTTAGTTGAGACAGTAAACATAGTAATGAAGCTTGAACGACTCCCATCGGTTTCACTCTTGGAATAGCTTCCATCGCTATAGCAATCATAAGTATTCACTAAGTTACTGCGGCTTGTTTATTTTACTAATGTGCCTTTTCCATAGAACTTCAGTTTTATAAATTTATTTTGTTAAGACTTCCTTTATTGGGTGCCATACCATGACCATGCTATGAACGTATCGATAACGGAAACATACAGGACGGTATATACAACCATGTATTGAATAATATAAGACTATATTCATTTGAATAGTCTCGTGCAGTTCGCGAACGAACTGGTTCGAAGAACAGGCTCCCAAAGTCGAACTAAGCGAAGTAGTTCGCAATTGTCCTTTTTCATAGTTTGTTAGTTGTGACAGAATGAATAATGCTGAAGTCGACTAAACGAATGTCATACCATTAAAAATATAAACAGCAAATTTAGTTATTTATTAAAAAAATAAATTTTTCATATGTTAATTAATGTTATTTTTGTAGCCACAAATTTGATGTAAATGTACAATGTTAAATAATCTTGTCACAACAAGAAGGAGTAGTATCAAAACGAGCGAATGAACTGACTTAAAATAATTCAATTATAAGGCAAATCGTTCGTTCGTTTTAAAACTGCTCCTGGCACAAAGAGCAAAGAACTAGGATTCTAAAAAAACTAGCGAGCTAGTTCGTTTGGGAGTCGCGAACTCACTCGTTCGATCTCAGTTGTGCGCTAACCATTATGCCCAATACTATATTAGACCGTTTCATCAGTAATCAACACTGCAGCGTAGGTACTACGAGGGTCAAACTGAAAGTTCTTAGAACTGGCCACTTATAAACAATATAATAAAAAAATAATTCTAAAATTTGAAAATATAACTCTTTGCCAATATTACTGAGTATATATTTTATTCATTTGTCATTTGTTTTACGATTTGGCGGCAAATTGAAAATTGTCTGTGTCACGTCATCATGAATTTAACACGAGAAAATTTTCGTGCAATGATTTTTTATGACTTTCGATGTCATTTAAGTCAACAAGAAAGTTATGATAGACTACGATTGACCTTTCACGATGAAGCCCCATCTCGTGCGACTGTTTACAACTGGTTTAATGAGTTTAAACGTGGTCGCACTAATCTCACTGATGATTTACGTGAGGGACGGCCTTCTACGGCGACGACTGAAGATAACATCTGTGTTGTGCGGCGTATGATAGAGACTGACAAAAGAGTGACCTATCAACAGATTCGGACAAGCTTAGGCATCGGTATGAGTCAAGTGCACAAAATCCTCCACGAACATTTAGCGGTCAGGAAGCTTTGCGCCCGGTGGATACCTCATAATTTGACTGAGGCTCAAAAACTCCATCGTGTGGATTGGTGTCGTAAAATGATTGAAAGATTTAACGGAGGTGACTCAAATGCTGTGTTCGACATACTAACAGGTGACGAAAGCTGGATTTACTGTTATGATCCTAAAACCAAAAGACAATCTGCTCAGTGGGTGTTTCCTTTCGAGGAGTTGCCAACTAAAGTGAAGAGAGATCGAAGTGCGGGAAAAAAAATGGTGGCCTCGTTCTTTGGAAGGATAGGTCATTTTGCAACAATTGTGTTAGAGGATCAAAAAACAGTTTCTGCAGAATGGTACACTACCAATTGTTTGCCACTTGTCTTGGAAAAAGTTCGAGAGAAACGACCTCGCAGTAGGATCCTCCTTCACCACGACAACGCCTCGTCGCACACCGCCAAGCGAACGATCGACTATTTGGCGACATCAAACGTTGAATTACTGGGTCACCCGCCGTATAGCCCCGACCTCGCGCCTTGTGATTTTTATTTATTTCCAAAAATTAAAGAAAAACTTAAAGGAAAGCGGTTTATGAATGCTGAAGAAGCGGTGGCTGCGTATCGCGATGCCATTGAAGAGACCCCTAAGGACGAGTGGGCAAAGTGCTTTTCCCAGTGGTTCCATCGCATGCAGCGGTGTATTGACGTGAATGGACAATATTTTGAAAAGATATAATAAAACTAATAACTGGCTAATGTAATCAGTTTTTGATTTTCTAAGAACTTTCAGTTTGACCCTCGTATGCACGAAAAAAAATACAAACGCCTCATAGTAACATAACGGTCTAATGGATGTCGTCTCGTATTAATTAATAGACTTTTGACTGCCACGTTCTTATTATTATCATGGTATGATACAATGTAACAAGGCATAGCTTAACTAGGAAACGCCTCATATTAAGAATCGCCTAAGCAGATTAGTTTAATTCCGAATAAATATATTTTTCTTTTATATCGTGATATATTTATGACATGTCTTATACGCAAATGCCTATCGCAAGGCGACGATGGTTCCTAGTCAACGGTGAAATGCATTATTAAGTGAAAACGAGCATTAGTCAGCCAAATGCAATTATAAATTAAATTTATTTTTGTCTTACTAAGAAAAGTTAGTATGTACTTATGTTCGAGTCTTGAGTCTACGATGAATAGGTTAGGCAACTTTCGTAAGGGTCTGTCATAGGATGGGTGACCAAAAATGTATTATCTAGAGTTCCAGTTCCTCCGTGCTGCGAAAGGCGACTTAAGTCTT